TCGCGATATTACTACACAGGAGCACATTCGAGGCTTGAAAGGTGGAAAAAGTTTTCTCCAACATATCTTCATCAATGATTTTTTCTCCGCACAATGTTAATTTTGAACATATTCTGAACAATTTAGAATTGTACTCACTAACAGTTTTGAAGTCTTGCAAACGAAAGTGCATCCACTCATAGCGGGCTTTGGAAAGGACTATAGTCGTCTAATGATCAAATCTTTCAGTTAATTTTTTCCAAAGAACCCGTGGATCCTTTTCAGTGAGATATTCAATTTTTAGTCTATTGTGAAGATGATGGTGAAGGAATATAAGTGTTTTTACACGATCATGCAGGGATTCTTTGTTTCCTTCTTTTATTATCTCTCCCAAACCTTTTGAAATAAGATGGTATCAGCATCAAGTACCCACAATAAATAATTTTTGCCAGAGATATCAAATGTAGTAAACTCAAGTTTTGTGATATTTGTCATTTGATTAACTACACAATAAAGCAAGAGAAAATATAATTAGTTTCAAAGAATATGATTAAACATCATATAATAATTAATCAAATAGTCAATATTAACATGACATAAGTTACGTATTTTTCTTCATGGATAAACACTGAAATAATATGTTCTTCGAAACATATGCTACTTCAGGAGCACGTTGTATTTAATTATTATTTCTTCAAGATCAATACGTCAATATTCTTCTAGAATATTGAAAATTATAATTTATGCTCTTCAGGAGCAAATAATATTTTTCAAGAATATAAATTATAATGTTCTACTACTTTAGGAACAACAACAAATTATTTATAACAGACAGGTTCGTAAGTACAAAATTAATATAATAAGTGTGCAAGAGAACATGATAATAATTCAAATGATAAAAAAATAAATAAACAAATAAGGCTTATATAATACATCTAGCATATAGTGAACAATTCATAATGGTATTGAAAAATTTATTAACAAAGAAGATTTGAAACATGGAACGGGTTGCAGCAAATAATTTGAACAAATTGTTGTGATTCAAATTATAAATTATAAAATATACATTCAATTGACCAAATTATTGAACAATAGTACGAAACAATGATAAATTAATGACATAGGAAAACGTGTCCACGGCAATGAAAGTCAATTTGGACAAATTGAAGGTGGTAGACACTGATTACAAATATGGTGGCACAATTTAATGCAGACAAATTGATACTTTGCAATACACAAACTAATATAAATCACACTGACGGCAAATACAAGGAACTGATTACACGTACAATCTTACAGGCAAATTTTGACAGAAAATACGTGTTATGTGCGGGTAAATTTTTTTTTCTTTTCAAGCACGATATCCAAGGAGAGTAAACATCAAACTTGATGTATATAACAAAGCATACAACAAGATACTACAAATTGATACACACAAAAATATGGAAGACAGGAAAGACACGTACATACAATTGATTTTGATTCGTATGTATATAAAATAATTCACATGTTACCAAATTGATTTTGGTACACGTGACACATGATTATACTTATAAAAAATATTATTATCTTCACTAAATTATGAAAAATTAAGTTATCGTGCTGATAACGTGTTATAAAAGTGAAGAAAAGAGAATAGAGTAGAGAGAAGTCAATAGATTTGTGTGTGTTTTATTAAGAACCAAAATCCTGTATTTATAGAATAGAATCAGGGATACAACAGTTATTATTTCTAGGGCTGCAGGAGTCTAATTGTCATTCACTCTAAACCCTAATAAACTTTCATTTTACAACAGAAAGTAAATTTTGAGAATATTTTGTTCTTGGTGCAGACCTTGGAAAAATATGGTTTGATATTATTTCTTTGATGAATCACATGAAATTATGTTTCCTTAATGCACTTTTCATGATTCACATGAAACGTTTGAAATTCACGTGTATATTTTAATATATTTCGATTTTATGTGAAAATTATATTATTTCCTTATCTAGTTATGATTTGCACTGTTGGGAAAGTATCACAATATGGTATGTAATTGGTTTTGGATATTATACCATGATTTTTCCGGAACATCCTTGAAAATAAATATATCTATCACTTGGTACACACAAAATTATCTTATTGATGCTTAGTGAAGATCATGTTTCCATATTCTATATATTTTCATTTTTGTATTATAAAAGAATTAATCAGAGGTATGTTTATTATAAAATAATATTTTAAAATACAATCTTTACGTTATTCTATGTACATCTTGTTAGAAGTGTGACTCAAATAGGAGTATAAATTGCATTAGATTTCTTACATTTTTTGAGACTTTTTTAGGGTTAGATTTTATACTACAAATACAAGACTCCTCTTTCAGTATTGTTTAAGCCATTATTGCTATAATTCTCTTCTTTCATTGATTGAATAAAATAACATCGTTCCTCTACCAGTTTTTTTATTTCTTTACTTTAATCTTGTTCTTAGGTTATTTGTGATCTTGTTCAATACTTCAATTACAACAAGTGGAATTCATTAAATCTCAATTCCTGCATTATTGGTCATCGGTCTCAATACATCTTTATAAATTGTTCATATACAGCATTTACTTACAAGTCTACTCGTTTCTTGATTAAAAACTTTGAGAATAATGCTTTAGGATTTCAAGACCTCACATTGTATATATACATACACAAGTCGACATTAATTGCAGGCAACCGACTTTTGTAGAAGTTTTTTTATTCTATACTGCTAATCGGCTATAGATCATCAGAAGAGTTATTTTGTGTTCTCTCATGTACTTAATAGAGTGATTTCGAGTGATTTTATCTTGTTGAGGGAGATTTTCTTGAAGCTGTAGTTGGATGCTTCAAGGCAGAGCCAGTCCTGTGTTTGATGGGCCCTGAGGCGGCCGATGAAAATTAGGCCCCCCAACGACAAAATTCAAAGGTGTATTATGCGACTCATTGCTAACTTAAAAAACTAACATTAAAACAACCACGAAATATATCATAGAAACGGTTTATATTATAAACCATCAAACCAAAAATTTCAAACAATTAGTTAAATACTATTCGTCTTGCTGTTTTAGAGGCAAAAACATCAATCAAATTTGAATAACTTAGCTGCTCAACCATTTCTTTTTCTATTGATAACATAGCCAACCCGTTTAATCTTTCTTGTGACATAGTTGATCGGAGATAGGTCTTGATCAACTTCAATTTCGAGAAACTTCTTTCCGCGGATGCAACTGTAACCGGTACGGTTAACAAAATTTTGTAAGCAATATAAGCATTTGGGAAACAAACATCCAATGTCTTCAAATAGTGTAGCACTTCAATTGCTCTTGTTGCTTCATTTGGTAAATAAATCTTCAAAACTTGTAACTCCGAATATAAATCATCTCCACTGATGTTCGAAAGCCCATTATGTTCAGGATATTTCTCAAGATTCATACAAGAGTTCAACAAACTTGATAAAGTTGCACTCCTTAACCTCTTCAAATTAAACAAAAATCCAAATATAACATCACATTGTTTGAATTGTTCAAATCGAGTCCTCAGAGAAGATAGAGCTTGATCAATTATAAAAATAAAATACTCAACTCTAAATGATTCTTCTGCTGATTGCTTTACCTCATTACTACAGTTTTCATCAAATTTCTTTTTTCTTCGAATTATGCGTTTTTCTGTAAATACAGCTTCAATTCCCATTTCGTTTGCCTTTTTTATCGCTTCATCCATGGCAATGGCAGATCCAATTTCTCTATAATCTTCAAGAAATGAAACAAGTCCTTGCAATAGGTCGATAGCATGATCAATATCCATGGATTCAGTTTGAAGAAATTTACTCACAATAGTAACTGCATGCAACAACTTGTACTAGATTATCATGCCAAGCAAGAACTCAAAATTCTGAAGTTCATGTGTTGCCAACGACTCGGCTTCACTCTTTACATTAGGATCTTCGTTAGTTTCTACCAAATCAAGTAATGCTTCTCTTATCTGTGCAGTTTGCTCCATTATAGGCTTCACACTCTCAACATGACTTTCCCAACGTGTTTGTGACAACGGCTTCACTGTCAACCCTTTTACATTATCTTTAAAAATTTGCCATCGCTTGGTAGAAGATGAAAACAAAGTGTAGATGTGTTGTATCACTCCAAAAAGGGATACAGCTTTGGAACAACAATTCACCATATCACATAACGCTAGATTTAGACTATGAGCGCCACATGGAGTATAGAAAGCTCGGGGATTCATTTTATGTACTCTTCTTTTCACACCTTTGTGCTTCCCACTCATGTTAGATCCGTTATCATACCCTTGCCCTCTAATGTCATCAATATCCAGATCGAGTTTGATCAAAGCCTTTTGAAGCTCTGTTGTAAGTCCAAGTCCCGTAGTGTCATCTACCTTCAAAAATTCAAGCTAATGTTCTTCAACTGTAGGTAAATTTGTCGAATCATCTACAAATCGTACTATTAACGACATCTGCTCCTCCTGACTTGCATTTGGAGTACAATCAAGTATAATTGCAAAATATTTTGCATGTTTAACTTTCTTGACAATTGCACTTCTCACCTCATTAGCCAACAACTGTATCAACTCATTTTGGATTTTTTTGCCAAGATACGTGTATTGAATCTCTTTTGCATTAGCCCACCGAAAGTGCTCTTTCATTATTGGATCAAATTCACTAACCATTTCCACCATTTGTAAAAATAGACCATTGTTCTCAACATTTAGCCTCTCATCATCTCCTCGAAATGGCAATGTATTTTTGGCGAGTCTTTTTACAATAGCATTATCCTTGTTAATACATGCCTCAAATGTTCTCTTTCCGCATTGATCAACAATTCAACGCCTTTATCAATTGTAGTTTTTGTTCGAAGCCTATTTTTCAATTCAATCCAACTAGTCATGTAACATAAATGCTCTCATTTCCTTCATGACTTTTAATAGACCGATGCAAATTATGCCAATCTTTGAATCCATCGTTACCAAATTGGCCAACTCTGGTAACATTTTTGGGCGTTTTAAACAACTTGCAACAAAAGCAAAAGATCATGTCCATAGATATTGAATATACTAGCCATCTTCTATCAATTGTTTGCCCATTTCGTAGCAATCACTTATATTGTGAAAAATCAAAATGCCTATTTGTACAATCTTTCGGAAACGAGACGTCATCAACTCTTTTTGGACTCCTTTCAACTAAGTAATCCCTTGTTCTTTGATCAATGATTTTCCAATTCCCGGGATCATCCAAATTTAGAGAAAATCAACTCTCTTCTTCCTTGACATCTACTTCATTAACACATGCAGGTTTCATCACCTCTTCTTCCTTATCATCTACTACATTAACGTAGGCAGGTTCACTCACTTCTTCATCTTTATCATCTACTTCGTTAACACATGCAGGTTGAATCTCTACTTTATACTCATTCAACGTATTCACATTTTTGCTTTTAAAGTACTTGTCAATATCCCCAACTTGACTTTGAATTAATGAAATTTCATTTCGTTTCTTTTTTCTCTTTTGAGCACCAGACTCATATTTAGGAGGCATGGTGTATGAGTCTATATCTGAAGCCCAATGAGTAAACTAAAAAATAATTACAAAATATCTCAAATCATCACACAGTTAGAGTTTTCAATATAGTTATTATGTGCGCCTGTGCAATTGTTGATCCTCTAATAATCAATCATATAAGCCGACCAGACCACAATTATATAAGCCGACAAGGCTTCAAACATTTTCAATTTCTTCAATAACAAGTTAAGACAAGCCATTGCTTACCTGACAAGTAGAATTTCAATGAAAACTGTGGAGTTACACCTTCAAGAATTTCACTGTCACAATACTCACAACTCCCGACCCTGAAACAAAAATTTCACATCAAACGCTATTACATATATTAACATGATCATCAAATTGAATATATTAGCACTAAAAGCAAAAATGCATAGGAAGTTTTAGTATGTTACCTCCCAAATAAATGTGGCTTCCAAGGAAAATTTGTGATAGCAACGTCGAGAAAACAGGTTGAAGCAGCTGGCAGCATATACAAGGAAACCAAGGCAGGGACTAGAATCTTATTTGATCAAGTAATAGCACAGAGCAGATGCTACAACTCATTGTAAAAGGGAAAAAAATTTAAAAATATATAAAAATAAACAGCAGACTCTTAAGAAATTCACTTAATTGAATGCAAGGGAAGTAAATATCAAGTCTTTAATGGTTTAATGTCCAGCTCCCCACTCTTTCAGAAGATTGAGTAGTTTTTGTTTCAGAAAACTAGCAAAAGGTTTTTATAATGCTAGAGCAAGAGGCACAAAGTTGAACCACAAAGAATCATGCAACCGAGAGCCAATGAGGGAAGCAACTTAAATATCTTGGTATCTCTCCTCAACAGTGGACAAAAGTCCACTTAAATTGTGGACGAGTAGGTCACCCAAGTTGCTCCAGTAAATATTAAATGGGTAGAGCCCTAATCCTTAGAGCAATAAAGGGTGACATAATACGTAAGAAACATTTTACCACACCTTATTCTCCTCACGAAAAAACAAAGTAGCAAGAGCAATTGTTAACCACCCTAAAAAGCTCGAAAATATTAAGAAGAAGCACAACATTCATTACAGCAGCCACCAGATGGCTGAGCCACCCGGCCGGTGGCAAGAGAGGCACAATGTTCCACAGCTGGCATGATATTGGCACAGCTAAATGCCTCTGCTGGTTCCACTAGGAAAAGAGCTGCACTGAGTGCTAAAAGAACTAAGAACAATGAAACCTTCAACATTTTTTGTTTTTTATGACAAGATCTGGAATTACACAAAATCACAAACATATATATGGACTCACAAAGATATATAAAAAGAAGAATCCATATCGATTGTCTATAATGAAGTGTGTGGCTATCATTGACCAGTATTCTGGATTTTTTTCCACTTCATTTATGTCTATTTGAATGAAGCCAAGGATCATTTGAGTAGCTAAAATTTGTAGCTTCTCTAATACATTGCGTTATCGTTGCATTAATGAGGCTGATGATTTGGTTAGCAGTTAAAAATTGTCATCTATCGACTGATTTGGAAGTGGATTACTCTTGCACAAAATAGGAGACATTGGTGTCATTACCTTGTTTCGTACTGATATTTTACTCTTCTTCTTATACCACCAGGATCACAAAGGGGAAATCATCACTTAGATCAACCTGTTATGAGTGAGTTGAAGTGAATTACTAGTTGCTATAGTGACCTTTTTGGTACTTATAAGTAGAGGAAAACCTGAAACTTCATCCTATCATTGAGAAAATCTTTTTGCAGGCATAAATCAAACACTCTGAAACAGACAGAGAAGTCCATGTACCAAGTTATTTAGAGCATGTTTGAGCATACACAAACATGCCTTTAATAGTTACATGGTTCCCATTTTGCAACAAATTGCGATATTAAACCCCACACAAAATAAATCGACGATTATAATTATCACAAGTTGTCAAAAGGGTAACGCCACTTTAGGATGATCATTGAGAGCTGGAAATATGCAAGTTATTATGAATAATGCTATGAAAAAGGCACCAATATACTTATATACAACTCTTCAGATGTCAATTCTCTCAGTTTTTTAATCTGCTTATTTTTAAAATCATACAAAAACAAGTTAAAATAAATTCAGTCATCTACTGCAGAAAATATATACTTCTACTGTTCGTGGAGTGTCTGTGTCTTCAATTGAAATTATCTACTATTTAATTATTTATTTTTATAGATATATCGTATATAAATTGTGGCGTTAAAGGAAAAGGTGTCCATGATTTTATTTTACCTTTTAATTTGTTATTTATGGTTGAGCTGCCAATGTCTTATATATCCATCGTTGGGATGTAAATAACAAAGATTTATACTTTATTATTTATAATTACAGCAGCCAAGTTTTTTAATTTGTTTAATTTATAATTACTCATAGCTCACCCAAGTTGCTGCAACAAACTGATATCACAAGAATCAATTAGTTCACATTTTATCTTCTTTTTTTTGGAAACAGCTAAATGGATTTCTAATGGTGAGTTCAAGTTGTCAGGGCAGATCGACAGAGTACCTGGATTCCAACGCCAATAAGGTGGAGGACATCAATATCTTTGGTAAATAATCTTGCTCCAACATGTAATCCGATTCCGAGGATAAGAGCTAGAACCAATCCTAGAACCACACCCAACTGCAATGTTTGACAAAGTTGAATATGAGGGAGCAGCCGGCTTCTTGAAACCAATCGAGAAATTCGAAGGATTTGGGGGTTTTGGAGTGCAGCTTCAACAGAAATCGATTTGGGGATTTTTTTGATTTCAGGGATTTGGGGGTTTTAATTCAATTGGGAAAAGATAAAACCCTACATAAAAGCTCAATAATTGCCTGGACGCTGCCCCGCTGCCGCTTGTCCAGTTGGAGACTTGGAGGTCGGCCGTCGACGTCGTAGGTAGGCGGAGGAAGCGGAGCAATGGCAACAGGAGGGAAAGGGAATGATAAAAATAATTTCAATTCGTAAGTCCATTAAAAAAAAAAACTAGGCGAAAATGAGGCCCCCATCTGGTTTGGGCCTAAGGCGCAGGCCTCATGGGCCTCGCCACAGGACCCGCCCTGCTTCAAGGTAGAGTTGCTACTTTTCTGAGCAATTCGAAACTGTTTTATAATCTTGATTTTTGTAATGTGACCTGTTTATTTGGTGTTCAAGTTTGGATTAAACAAAGATGTTCAACGAGTGTCATAGATCTTGTAGAATCCACAAGAATGACTATTTGGTGTTCAAGTTTGGATTATACAAAGATGTTCAACAAGTATCATAGATCTTGTAGAACCCACAAGAAGGACTACTTGGTGATATACATTAATAGGTGTCGTGCTCAAGGATGAAGGCTAATGTCTCGTACTAAATTTGTGACTGAGAAGCAAATTTACAGCGATGGTGGTTTTCGAATCAGGCTAAGTGATCATGGCTCAATTCTGAACAAGCTGATCAGATAAGAAATAGGAATTTTTTTTTTTTTAATTCTCATAATTTAGTTTGTGTTTGGTATACATTTTTAGGATATGATAATTTTATCTTCATTTTTTTATTTTTTTTTTAATTTTAACATCAACTTTTAGAAGCAAAAACAATGGAGATCGCACTGGAAATTACCAAATGCTACAAAGCTTGGCAAGTTTTGGTTTAATAACTGATTTCAATACTTCAACAAAAGTTCATACTCTTACAATAACAAGAAATCAGTATTGTGTCTATGCTTATAAGGGTAGCACTACGATGTATAGAAAAGGGATTCTTCACAAGAAACGATCCCCTCGCGGATTTTCTGAAGATTGCATCAAAGTGAACAACATGACCATGGATTTAGTTTTCTAATTTTGTACGAAGTACGCACATTCTTTTGTACTTGGTTCCAAGTTCACACAAGAATTTTAATTTAAAAAATCTTATTTCCAGTTAACTAAATGAAAAGAACAGCTGAAGGTGTACATTAATGAGAAAGCTAATTTGCATTCATATAGTTTTTAAAAGAAACCTGTAAACTTGTTTGGATTGATTAAAACTCAGCGACAATTTGTACTTTAATATTTTGCCTCGGGATTAAGCACCTTTCAAGTAACACAAAGCTATGCCTATCACACTTGTAGTAGGATGAACAACTTACTCCATACAAATTCGGTTAAACCTTTTGACCCTTCACCTTTTTCGGGTCGATGCCCAGGTCAATTTTAAAATCATTGACACAAGTCGGGCATTTGTTATCTTCACAACTCGAGTATGAAGAAATCACTGTTGCAGAAATTGCACCATCAGTTCAGTGCACCACATTTGCTCCGGTACACCTGCTATATGATTACATCAATTCAACCATGTTACTGGACATGTTTACACCAATTTTGCTGGTAACTATTTTCCTAATTTTCTTCTCATTTATTATTATGATTATTTCCGTTGATAGTAAACCAGTCATTGAACCAATCATTGATTGCACTAGCCAAAAAAATAAAATAAAAAATGTTTGTTGACATATTTTACAAGTTCCCTACTAATCGGGTCAGGATGCTTTCTTTCCTAGATTTATTATTATTATTATTATTATTATTATTATTTTGGGTACATTTCTATGGTATGACTCCGTCCTACAGGACAACAATCATTAATCTTCTAAAGAGAAAAACAAATTAGCCATTAATTTTCACGTGTTTAATGTAATATTCACTCAACAACAACAACAATTAAACATTGTTCCCAATAAATTTTTGTTCCTGTACCTGAATCGTCTTCAAAGTCCAGTTTTGTTCATTACTGCATTTGTCAAAAAAATCTGCAATTTGTCTATGACAGAAACGATGTCCCCGCGTGGTTATGATGCAAAAGATTATGAGCAATCTTCCCTCTAGCTTTCATTGCATTAGCTGATCTCAATCCAATCTCCAGGACCATTTCATCGTCCACAAGCTCAATTCAAAGTTAAGCTCCGGCTCCATTTCCTTGTTCCTGAGTTCGCATATTATGCAATACACAACAAGCTCCAAGAACTACAAGCAAATCCTGAAGTTTCATCTCAGTCCTTTTCTGCAACCAAGCCTATCTTCCTTTCGTGAATGCCTCCTTTACGATCCTCTGAATCTCCCCGATCTTCTCATTGAAAGCGTGCTGCGACCCACTTAATCGGTCTAATGTGCAGTTAAATATATGGATATGGAGGTCTATACTGTTAACAAGGTACAGCTGCGAGGACGAGTACTGAATTATTCTTCCTTTTGCAATAAGCCGCAAATCCCCCTGGTATTGAGCAGCATCATCCGATGTAAAATCTGTCTGAAAGCCACTCAGATTTCCAACACACGTGGGTATAAACCCGAACAGGTTATTTTTCGAGATGTCCAATATGTGAAGCAGAGAGAGTTTACAGATTTCTGAAGGAATATTTCCCGTAAAAGAGTTGTTCCGTAAGCGTAGAATTAACAACAATGACATGTTTTCTCCAATCCAAACTGGAATTTTTCCAACGAATTGATTGTCACCGATATCAAGGCTATTTAGTTGGGTACAATTTCTTAAACTGGAAGGCAATTCTCCTGAAAGATTGTTACTAGAGAGGATTAAAAATTTGAGAATAGGTAAAGACCCTATGGAGTCTGGTATCGTACCAGAAAGACTGTTATTTGACATATCAAGTATGTAAAGCGTAGGAATATTTTTCCAAAATTGAGGAATACTTCCTGACAAACGATTGTTTGAAATGACTAGGGTTGTCAATTGTGTCAGATTTCCTATAGACGGGAATTGTTCCATTAAGATTGTTTTTTGAGATGTCTAAATCTGTCAGAAAAGGCAATGCTGTCCCAATGTTTGAAGGAATTGGTCCTGAAAATAGGTTGTCCCTCAGATACAAGGTAGTAAGATTAGTAGACCAAAGTGGGAGAGGTCCTTCAAAGAAGTTTGAACTCAAATCAACATTCGATCCAAAGGAGAAACGGAGTGAGTTTGGTATCTTACCACTTAACTGATTGTACGCAAGATCCAGTTCTTTAAGTTCTAAACCCATATTCAAGAACCAATCCGGTATAACATCTCCAATACTTGCAAAGTTTAGTACGATGGTCTTAAGCTCGGTTTGATTCCTGAGCCATATTGGGAAGTTGGGGCCAAGTTGGCATGCCTGGATTTTTATATAAACGAGTTTAAACAAAGGCATCCAGTCAGAACTGATGTTGAATACCACGGAAACATTTGGCTGCAACTGACCAATTGATAGTTCACGCAAGCTGGAGAGATTCTTAAAATGGGCTTCTGTTATGACACCTTCCCACATGTTTTCAGACAAGTCGACTGCATTTAAGGAAACAAGTTTCCCAAAACTCACCGGGATTTTTCCACTCATTTGGTTGTATGAGAGGTATAGTTCCCTCAACGACGACAAGTTCCCTATTGTTTCTGGAATTGAACCTCGGAAAGAGTTGTGCCAGAGAAGAAGATATAGCAGATTCTTGAGGCTGCCAAGTGAATGGGGAAGGTTTCCTGTCAGTTCATTGAATCCCAAATCCAGTGTCTCCAGCCTGTTGTTCGAACATTCAGACAAGCCGTCGATGAACTCCATTATGTCACCATCAACTTTGTTGTTAGTGAGTACGAGATTCTGCAAATTACAGAGATTTCCCAGCTTTCTTGTTAACTTTCCTTCAATACCAAAATTTTCTGACAGGTCGAGGTCCTCGAGGGAAGTCAAATTTGCTAATGCATCTGGTAAAACACCATAAAGATTGTTCGAGTTGAGATCAAGGCGTTTCAAGCTATTTAAATTGCATAGCCACTCCGGAATTGTGGAGTTAAAACCATTGTTCGAAAGGTCAAGTACTGAAAGAGAAGTAAAATTAACAGACAGAAGAGAAGTTGGAAGATTCACTAGCTGACACTGGAATAAATGCAATTCTGAAATAACCGGAAGGAAATTGAGAGTTTGAAGCCAATGAGATGCTGTTCGACTAAGATCTATACCCCCCAAATTTAGGTATTTCAAAGAAAAAAGACCTGATATCCACTGAAGGCCATTTTCTACCTTCTCGTTATAGTAATAACTGAGATCAAGACACTCCAACTCAGAAAGTTTTCCGAGGTTAGGTGGAATTCGACCTCCAAATGATGCACTAGAAAGATTCAGATATCTCAACTTGGATAGCGACCCAAGGAAGTCTGGAATTTGAGCCCCACCAAAATTATTCATACTGAGGTCTAAATGATTCAAGTATTTCAAATCAAGCAAAGAAGGACTAACCTCACCACCCAACTCATAGACGAGTCCATCGCTGTTAAAACTATTTGGATATGGATTCCGGAGTTTGATCTCAATTACATATCCAGTTCTGTTATCACAAGTCACACCATTCCATCTACAGCAATCCTCTCCGCGCCAAGAAGCAAGTCTCCCTGAAGGATCTGTAAGGGCCTCTTTGAACGTGATGAGCACTTTCTTCTCATTCTCCCTGCAAATTAAGCGAACATTTTGTTTGCAGTATGCGAGTTTAAAAGTCTCGAAATCCAAAAACTGGAAAAAGAACACAAGAATAACAAGTTGAAATGAGCCTCTAGCCATGGTCAAGAAAAAATAATGCTAAAAGTAGCTAGCTATATGTGTAGTGACAACTTGTATCAATCCTAGTGTTCTTGCAAATTTTTGTTTTGTAATCTGCGAGTAACATTTGATTTTATAGTATCAATTCATGGAATTGTGGTGTGAATGCAAGAGATTAAATTTGGAAGAAAAATTCAATGACCAAGACTTGTTTCGCCTAATTATTTATTACCCAATTTTCATATGCTGTCTTTGGAGTTATTTTTTCTGTCTTTTTATTTCATTGTAGTATTCTAATACCTTGTACCTCCTCAAAATTCCAGGTAGGAGAAAATTGTCATAGTTTATTGCATAAATATTAAATGAAAATGACATTTTAAATGGTTTGCATTTGGACAGTAATTCGTTGGACCCATGCATGAACTTGTTTTTAGTGTTTGAATATAACTTTTGATAGAAGAAAAAGAAAAAGAAAAAGAAAATATCAAAGCCCTATTTGTGTAGATGAATATCGATATCATGTTGCACTTAAAAATTAAAAGTTTAAGTTGGTAGTCAATTGTGTAGACTTGTCATAATTGAAGCACAACAAAATTAAAAATCTCAACCCGTATGTGTTTTATACATATTACAAAACATAATCTAAAAATTTTAACTTTTTAAAAAGAAATAAACATTTTTTATTTATTTGATTAACCTTCTATCAAGAATCTAATAATGCTAGTTTTGATAAGACATGCAATTCCCTGGCATGATAAGGCATTAGTTCATGTTTGGGAAATATTATAATTTTCTTATGAATTATGGGCTTCTTTGAAGGTGATAAGCACTTTTTCCTCTTTCTTCCCACAAATTGAGTGAGTATTTTTGTAGTATGCGAAATTAATTATTTCAAAAGGCATAAATAAAAGGGAAAATTATAGCCAAGGTACCAAAAACACAAGAATAATAAGTTGAAATGAGCCTCTAGCCATGCTCAAGAAAAAATAATGCTAAAAGTAGCTAGCTATATGTGTAGTGACAACTTGTATCAATCCTAGTGTTCTTGCAAATTTTTGTTTTGTAATCTGCGAGTAACATTTGATTTTATAGTATCAATTCATGGAATTGTGGTGTGAATGCAAGGGATAAATTTTGGAAGAAAAATTCAATGACCAAGACTTGTTTCGCCTAATTATTTATTACCCAATTTTCATATGCTGTTTTTGGAGTTATTTTTTCTGTCTTTTTATTTCATTGTAGTATTCTAATACCTTGTACCTCCTCAAAATTCCAGGTAGGAGAAAATTGTCATAGTTTATTGCATAAATATTAAATGAAAATGACATTTTAAATGGTTTGCATTTGGACAGTAATTCGTTGGACCCATGCATGAACTTGTTTTTAGTGTTTGAATATAATAACTTTTGATAGAAGAAAAAGAAAATATCGAAGCCCTATTTGTGTAGATGAATATCGATATCATGTTGCACTTAAAAATTAAAAGTTTAAGTTGGTAGTCAATTGTGTAGACTTGTCATAATTGAAGCACAACAAAATTAAAAATCTCAACCCGTATGTGTTTTATACATATTACAAAACATAATCTAAAAATTTTAACTTTTTAAAAAGAAATAAACATTTTTTATTTATTTGATTAACCTTCTATCAAGAATCTAATAATGCTAGTTTTGATAAGACATGCAATTCCCTGGCATGATAAGGCATTAGTTCATGTTTGGGAAATATTATAATTTTCTTATGAATTATGGGCTTCTTTGAAGGTGATAAGCACTTTTTCCTCTTTCTTCCCACAAATTGAGTGAGTATTTTTGTAGTATGCGAAATTAATTATTTCAAAAGGCATAAATAAAAGGGAAAATTATAGCCAAGGTACCAAATCTTTTATTTAGCAGCAGACTTGTTCCAACCCTTTCATTTGTACCACCATACATACCAAATTTTTATAAAATTCGTAGCTCAAGCTCAAAGTGATGGTTTCAATCAGTATGAACCTAGAAACCGTCAGTTGACCTTAGAAATTTAAATTGTAATAATTTTTTCATTAAAATAAGACCAGGCAGTTTGAACGTAATTTCCCTTCAAAAAAAAAAAAAAGGCACAACCCCCTACCCCCATCTCATCTTTCCCGACTGTCTCATCCCAAAACCAAAACCAAAACCAAAACCACTCCTACCCAGCCGACGATCGCCTCTGTCTGTCGGCACCACTGCCTCTAAGTCGGCCCCAACACTGCGTATTTCAACAATTTTGCCCAATCAAACATACTAGCAATCCTAAAACAATGAATGTTACACAAACACACATAATCAAATGTATACGCACTACCTGGTATTTCACCAAATTTTCCCTCTGACGTGGCTTTAAAAGATGTTCTGTGGAAACATGCAAAATCGTGATCTCTCCCAAAATACACACTGTTCAAGTTCCCAATTCAACTATCAAACACACAACTCTCTTTCTCTGGGTCCATTTCATCTGGGTATTGAAGATTTTGAGAAAATTGAGCAATTTTCACTAAACCCAGTTGGGAATCAATTCAATTCTTGCTTGAGGTGGAGGTCTTACTGGAGTCACTGACACCTAAATACCCTTTTAAATACCGTAGGATTTTTGGTGGCTTTTTTTGCATTAATGGCTCTTCTTAGAGGTATCGAGGGTAGGAGAATTCGGAGGTGGATGTCCAAGAGCGCCGCCTGCCACGACGAACATTCTTCGTAGTCTTTCCATATCATATGAATCAGCGAAAAGATGGAATTTAGATAGAAAGAAGTTAAATTGTCTAAAATTTATTTTAGTAAAAATTGCAAATTAATAATGTTTGAATAAAAGTTTCTTTTCATTTGAGTTTCTTTTTTATAAAAATTGTCAATTTAAGGGATATTTATTTCTATAATTGTTCATAAAATTTGTTTTCATTGTTGAAAAAAAAAACTAGATCCAAAAAAATTGTAATAATTTTTTCATTAAAATAAGACCAGGCAGTTTGAACGTAATTTCCCTTCAAAAAAAAATAAAAAGGCACAACCCCCTACCCCCATCTCATCTTTCCCGACTGTCTCATCCCAAAACCAAAACCAAAACCAAAACCACTCCTACCCAGCCGACGATCGCCTCTGTCTGTCGGCACCACTGCCTCTACGTCGGCCCCAACACTGCGTATTTCAACAATTTTGCCCAATCAAACATACTAGCAATCCTAAAACAATGAATGTTACACAAACACACATAATCAAATGTATACGCACTACCTGGTATTTCACCAATTTTTCCCTCTGACGTGGCTTTAAAAGATGTTCTGTGGAAACATGCAAAATCGTGATCTCTCCCAAAATACACACTGTTCAAGTTCCCAATTCAACTATCAAACACACAACTCTCTTTCTCTGGGTCCATTTCATCTGGGTATTGAAGATTTTGAGAAAATTGAGCAATTTTCACTAAACCCAGTTGGGAATCAATTCAATTCTTGCTTGAGGTGGAGGTCTTACTGGAGTCACTGACACCTAAATACCCTTTTAAATACCGTAGGATTTTTGGTGGCTTTTTTTGCATTAATGGCTCTTCTTAGAGGTATCGAGGGTAGTTGGGTTTGGCGAAGAGGCAATCGTGCCGACAATGATAACTGACATCAGGTGCAGATGGTTTTGGTTTTGAAGTGAAGGGTTTGGAGAAGTAGTTGAAGGTGAGGGGGTTGTGTTTTTGTTTTTGTTTTTTAAACTTTTTGATTTAAAATGGAAAATGTGTTATATCCAAATTGCCCTTGTCCTATTTGGAGAAAATTTATTAAAATTTTAATTTCCGGCCACGACGAACATTCTTCGTAGTCTTTCCATATCATATGAATCAGCGAAAAGATGGAATTTAGATGGAAAGAAGTTAAATTGTCTAAAATTTGTTTTAGTAAAAATTGCAAATTAATAATGTTTGAATAAAAGTTTCTTTTTTATGAAAATTGTCAATTTAAGGGATATTTATTTCTATAATTGTTCATAAAATTTGTTTTCATTGTTGAAAAAAAAAACTAGATCCAAAAATTACTTACATTTTAGTGTTCATTTGATTTTATTTTATATGAAAATTGTCGATTTAAAAGATATCTTTTTTTACATCTGTTCTTAGAATTTGTTCCCATTGCCAAAAAAAAAAAAAAGTGGAAAATCAATTCTCACCGTTTTGGTAAGAATTGATTTTCCACTAAATCATGGAAAATGCAAGTGTGTGGGGAAAAAATGGAAAACGAATTCCATGAAAAAGTTTTACTATCAAACACATAAAATTGGTGAAAAGTTGAATTCGAATTCCATTTTCTATGGAATTGTGCCAATCAAACATGGCTTTAGAGTTTCTTTCTCTATGTAATTTGTTACTTGGGTATATGTGAGCGTTAAAAGTTGGTTTTGACAGAAGTAAAGTGAGTTTTTTCATGTGCGTGAGAAAGATACTAGTTTTAAGATGATGGTGGTGTTGGGTTTGGCGAAGAGGCAATCGTGCCGACAATGATAACTGACATCAGGTGCAGATGGTTTTGGTTTTGAAGTGAAGGGTTTGGAGAAGTAGTTGAAGGTGAGGGGGTTGTGTTTTTGTTTTTGTTTTTTACACTTTTTGATTTAAAATGGAAAATGTGTTATATCCAAATTGCCCTTGTCCTATTTGGAGAAAATTTATTAAAATTTTAATTTCCGAGGTCAACTAACAGTTTTTAGGGTCAAACTAATAGAAATCGTCATTTTGGACTTGAGCTGTGAATTCTTTAAAAATTTGGTACCTACGGTGACACAAATAAAAATTTTGGGTCAAGTCTGCTGCTAAATGAAAGATTTGGTACCTTGACTACTATTTTTCCTAAATTTAAATAGGAACACAAAAACGATGAGTTTGAAAGAGCCTCTATCCATACTTGTTCAATGAGCAAGATTTATTTCATCTAATTAATTATTGCCCAATTTTCATAAGCTGTTTTGAGGTTTTTTTCCTTTGGTTTTCATTTTATTTCACGTTATGAAATCGATTTTAACATG